TCAATGGGCAAAAACACAAACTTTGTTCAAGTGACAATTAACTGAACTTTGTTCTTGCTGGTAAGATGGGAATTCCTCCACTGGTTAATTTTATCTTTGAGTTTTTTTTTTCATTTAAGGGACTGTGGGCATCACTAGGTAGGCCAGCAAATATTGTTCGACCCTAGCTGCCCTTGAGAAGGTGGTGGTAAGCTGCTTTCAAGAATAGCTGCAGTCCTTCGAGTGTATGTGTACAACCATAGTGCTACTTGGCAAGGAGTACCAGGATTTTGACCCAGCAACAGTAAAGGCATGTCAGTATGGTGTGTGGCTTGGAGAGGAATGTGCAGGTAGTGTTTTCTTATATCTACTGTCCTTCTATTTTTTGGTGGTAGAGGTTGCAGATTGGAATGTTGCTGTCTGAGCAATTTTCCATATTGTGGGTAGAAGCCACTGTTGTATCAGTGCTGAAACAGCTGGCCAGGGATGTGACTACCACCTCAAGCACTACTGCCAGAATGTTGCCAGGGCCTGTGGCCTTTGCTGCATCCAGTGAGTGTGAGTTGGCATCTTAGTATACGGTCATGAGACCAGGAAAATAATGGATGGTGATATTGTCATGAAGACTTTTACTATTCGGAAAAACCTGGGTTCTGAAGTGGGCTGGACTATTGATTTCTATTTCTGTATTACATTTTTAAGGAAGCCAAGGATAGGCTAAATTTTGTTTTAGTTCTGAGTTTTACGGAGTTGTCTGGAAATGTGCTAATATTAATTTAAGTCAAGTTCTTGAAAAAAAATCCCTTTTGGAGTCAATAGTTCAGTGCTTCAGACAATACTGTGTGCAGTTTTGATTGCCTTACCTCTGGAAGAGTATGACTGCTCTATAGTGCAATGAAGGTTCACCAGACTTGTTCATGGTAGTAGAACTGTCCTATGAAGAGAGATTGGACAAACTCGCCCCGTATTCTCTAGTGTTTCAAAGAATGAGAAATGATCTTGCTGAAACCTACAAAAAAAGGGATAGACAGGTGCACATGGGTAAGATGTTCTCAACTGGTCGAAGAGCCTAGAACTTGAGTGGGAAGGCAGGACAATTTTAATTTTAAAGAAAAGGGGAAATGATGCTTGGGACTGAGATGAGGAACATTTCTTTTACACAGAGGGTTATGAATCTTTGGTATTCTTTATCCCAGAGGACTCTGGAAACTCAATCTTTGGGCATGTTCAAAGTAAAGATTGATTGATAGACTTCTAATTTATCTATGGTCTAAAGAGTTATTGGAATAGTGTAGGTAAAAAACATTGAAGTGCTCGATCAGCCATGATCAGACTGAATAGTGAAGCAGGCCTACTCCTAGCCTATGTTCGTATGGAAATAGGCAGTGAAAACTCTTCATTCCTATGCTTCTCTCTTATAAATATGTGAAGAGAAAACCATTAATAAAGACAAATGTAGGTCCCTTGCAGTTAGAAGCTGTGGAAGTTAAATATGGACCCAAGAAATGGCAGAGGAATTGAATACATACTTTGGTTCTGACTTCACAGACAGCCACCCAGAAGTGCTATCGAACCAAGGGTCTAACGAGAGGGAGAATTCAAGGAAAACTAGTGTTAGTTTAAAAAATACAGTGCTGGGGAAACTAAATTAATAAGTGCTGACTAAAAGCATATCAGCAAAGCCTGATGATCTAGATTCCAGAGTACAAAAGTAAGTCGCCCTGGAAACATTGAATACTTTTGCTCATCATCCAAAATTCTATAGCCTTTGGAGCAGTTCCTACAGATTGAGTGTGGCAATTGTGGGCCAATATATTTTAGAAGGGAGAAAGAAAAGAAGCAGAATTCGAGATCAGTTATCCTAACGACTAGTGAGAAAAATGCTAGAGTGCATTGTAAAAGATGTGGCAATAGAATACTTGGAAAGCGTTAACAGGATTGGACAAAGCCAGTATGAGTTTATGGAAGGGAAGTCATGCTTAATGAATCTATGGGAATTTTTTGTGGATGTATCAAGTAGAACAGATAAAGGAGAACCATCAAACCAAATTTCACTCTGGAATCTGACTTATCAAGTATTACCATTAGCTGAAATAATAGTATTTGGAAAGACGTCTGCATTCCCTTGTCCAAAAAAATGTATTTTTACCATAATTTTAAATACTTTCATTTTATTCTTCACTCGGCTACCAGCTTTGGCTCAATGAATGCAATGACGTAATTTTGTCTATTCTTGTTGTTTTCCCTGTTGAAGTCACGGTCACTGGCATTCCCTTTATACTGTGGTTTTTTTTTGAGGCAGGGCAACAAAATACAGGGAGTCCTCGTCTAAAGCCGGGGTTACATTCCTGAAGATCATGAAGCATGAAGTATTAAGCTTAAACTGAAGTTAAGCTCTTTAAGGCCTTCCTTGGCAGAGGAAAGAAATGCCTATACCCTCTAGGCTGAAATTAGTGCCATCTGTACTTTCAATTGCTACATTTCCACGTTTGGAAATGAAATGACTTAAATCTTGAAATAAAAAATATAAATATAATTACCAATAGCATTGTTAGATTGTTCAGGCTCCATCTAGTGGCAGAGGTTCACCAGTGTAGCTGGACTTCTAGGACAACCTGCACTGACCAACTTTAACAGAGTCCAGGACTGCAGTTAAAATTGGGGCGGGCGGGTAGTGAAAACCCAGGAGTGAGGCCAGCAGTAAAGGGCAGACCGAACCTTGACTCTACAAGTAAGAGTGAGTCCTGAGGAGAAGAAATGAAGTGGGCGGAGGGGTAGGTGAAATAAGCAATCAAAGCCAGGGTGTTGGAGAATCATGGGGACCGGAAGTGAGGCAAGACAAGGTAGCAAGGCCAAGAGTGAAGCAAGATTCCTTGCACGTGGGCAAAATAAGCCTAGGATGCAGGCTATGCAGTCTTGGATGCTGATTTCCGATGACGATAGATGCAAAGCATGCAAATTCTGCTAAAATTGAAATGGTGATGCATAACTTAAGTAAAACTAGCCCAAAGAATAAACAACATTATTTCATGTTAATGTTAAGTAAGGCATTGTTAAATGAGAGCTACTTGTAATGAGAAATGCACAAGGTAGAGTTTTAGATCAACTTGACACCCAGAAGTAGCTGTTTAACCTAAATGTGTAATTTAAGTTGCATTCTTCCAATTGAATGCAGTGGAAGGAATGTTTGTGAATCTCTTGTATAATACAGACATCAGTTAGCTCAGTTGGCTGGATGGCTGGTTTGCAATGCAGCATGACATTAACAGCACAGGTTCTTTCCCTGCACCAACTGAGGTTGCCATGAATGTCCCTCCCCTTGCCTGAGTTGTGTCTCGCGCTCGTGCTCAATCTCGCGCTTGTGCTGTCTCTCGCGCTCGCTCTCTCTCTGTCTCTCTCACTTGCGTTCACTTGCTCTCTTGCTCTCTCGCTCGCTCACTCTCGCGCGCTGAGAGCAGTTTTACGGTCCTCTGCAACTATGGCAACTTGAAATAATGCACCAATGAGAGATTCAAATTTCTGTGATTTTTTTATTGAAACGTGGATCCTGAGGGGATTGGCAGGGTGGGTACTGAAAGGATCTCTCTTTGTGGGAGAGACCAGAAGTAGTGGGCACAGTTTAAGAATAGCAAACCTCCCATTTAAGACAATTTAGAAAACTGTTTTTGGGGATCATGAGTCCATACAATAGTGGGGACATTAAAGACTTTTGTCAATCAAGAAACTATTAGCCTCTATCCTAAGAGAGTCAAAAGTTATTGGAATGAGGTGGGAATGTGAACTTAAGGTGACATTCAGTGCACGCTGATCTTATTAAACAGTGAAACAGGCTAGAAGGGCTGAATGGCCTACCCTGGTCCTAATTCACATACCTTGTATTTACCTCTGGCTCTCTGTTTCCAATTATGGAGAAAAGGTCTCTCTTTATCTGCTCCTTCAAAACCTTCCCTAATTACAAAACCTCAATTAGGTCACCCCAGGCCTTTTTTTCTCAAGAAGAAAGCAGTTCCATCAATTTTTTTCTTGAATTGTATACTTGGTAGAATTTGCTAACGTCTCTGTACCTTTCTGGTGGATCTATAATTTTCCTATAACAACCAGAAGTATGGCCAAGTATCATCTGATGTGATCCACGTTGCTAACAGTCTTACTTAATCATGATGGCATCTGACCTATTGTTTGAAGACAAAACAAAATTCTCTTTCATGAACCCAAAGAATACATTTTTGCTTGTAAATTTGACACAACATGCATGATATTCCCAAAGAATTAAGTGTGATTATCAAGCTATTATTAGTTTTGGTCTTGGTAATTAAACTGAAAAATTGATCATAGCCATTTTTTCTCCTCCCAAAATAAAAGGACTATCAAACTCTCTGGATTTCTAATTATATGTCTAGTTACTTGTCAGGTAAGAATGGTCTTGTGCAAATATTCAATTAGATCACTTTCAATGACCTGAAGTATTCTGTATGGACCAGATGCAAAGCTTCCACTTCAACCACACAAGCACCTCCACCTGCCCACCCCCCCCAAATATCTCCTATTGCCAAAACAACTATGACTTGATCAGTCATTTTAGCCTTAACAGTCGCAGAAGACAGGAAACAAAATGTGAATTCTTAAGTCTGCATTTATGTGATATCGCTCCTGTGAAAATGCATCTCCAAGAACAGAAAGAGGGCGATCAAGAAATTTAGAAAAGGAAACTGTATGGATGCTGTGTGCAGCTTGTATAATATTCATAAAAGCAGAGCTCTCTCTGCTTTTGCTACTCTGCCTAGCTCTGTGTTCCTCAACAGGAAATCATGACATAAAGTTATACACAGCATTATTCCATCACTATCAGTATGCCCCCAGACTGAAACAACTGTTAGAATTACTGGTCAATAATCTTTGAGGGTATAGCTGGGTAATTATCTATGCAGCATATAGTTTCTGTTAAGTGTTAAATAATCAAACCCATTCTAGATTTTTAAAAAGTAGTTTTTCTGTGAACAGTTGTTTTTCTTTACTGACAGGTATTGATTACAAGACAACAACAATCCTGTTAGATGGGCGTCGGGTGAAATTACAACTCTGGTAAGTGCCTTGTAGCAGTTCTGAATATTAGCTAATTCTTATGTTCATCTTTTTCAGTATGGAGATTTGTTTTACAAGCACCAATTGGGTTTGTACTGGCTGAGTGTAATGAAGAGCTTTCCAAACATCGAAGCCGATACTGTTTCGAGAGAGACTTCTTTAGAGCCATGAAACAAGAACTTTTTCATATCTGGAACCTTTCACATTATGACATAAAAACATCAGTGCGATGGAAGAATCCAGTAAAGTAGAATTTTAGCAACTAAAGTGCTATAGTATGCTGCTTAACACAACAGGAGTTGCAAGATTCTGAATTTAATGTCAAGAACATAGAACAGTACAGCACAGTACAGGCCCTTCAGCCCACGATGTTGTGCTGAACTTTTATCCTAAACCTAAGGTCTACCTAGCCTCCACCCCTACCTTACACTATCATCCATATGCCTATCTAATAGCTGCTTAAATGCCCCTAATGAGGCCGACTCCAGTACCATCTCTGGCAATGCATTCCACGCCCCTACCACTCTTTGAGTAAAGAACCTACCTCTGACCTCTCCGCTATATCTACCTCCACTCACTTTAAAACTATACCCCTTGTAATAGCTACCTCCACCCTAGGAAAAAGTCTCTGGCTATCCACACTATCTATACCTCTGATCACTTTGTACACGTCTACCAAGTCACCTCTCATCCTCTGTCATTCTAAAGACAAAAGTCCTAGCTCTCTCAACCTTTCCTCATAAGACCTTCCCTCCATTCCAGGCAACATCCTTGTAAATCTCCTCTGCACCTTTTTCCAACGCTTCCACATGTTTCTTGTAATGAGGCGACCAGAACTGGACACAATACTCCAGATGTGCCCAGACTAGGGTTTTGTATAGCTGGAGCATAACTTCACGGCTCTTGAACTCAATCCCTCTATTAATGAAAGCTAACACACCATACGCCTTCTTAACAACTCTATCCACCTGGGGCAGCTTTCAGGGAATTGTGGACATGAACCCTAAGATCCCTCTGCTCCTCCACACTGCCAAGAATCTTTCCGTTAACCCTGTATTCTGCTTTCAAGTTTGTCCTTCCAAAATGAATCACCTCACACTTGTCAGGGTTAAACTCCATCTGCCACTTCTCAGCCCAGCTCTGCATCCTATCAATGTCCCTTTGTAACCTAGAACAGCCCTCTGCACTATCCACAACTCGACCCACCTTCGTATCATCTGCAAGCTTACTAATCCACCCTTCCACTCCTACATCCAAATGATCCTTTTTGAGGTCACACTTGTGTAGTTCCTCTCTAGATATGGGAAAGGAGCTGACTCAGTTTATCGTCATTCTCGTAAAAGCTTCCAGTTGGACTTTGCAAAAGCAAATTCAATTCCACTTGATTTCAAAGAAAATATCAAAAAAAATTCTCCTGTCCAACTTGCTCCTTAACTTTTAACCTTTTGAATCCATTCTTCCAAGTTGATCTTTCTGTATGAAATTACCTTCTCCCATTCTTCTCTGGAGGACTGCTGTGCAAGAATATAATTGAATTGGAATCTTCTACAGATGTCAAAGAATATAGACATTGTCACCTCCTAACAGACTTTTCCAGATGTTCCAGTACATCCAGACTAATGGCCACTGGAGCACAATCTGCAAACCCAATTAAGTTAATTCACCAGTTACCCATCGGGCAACGAGGACTGAAATCAATCTAACTGTGGTTTGTAATAAACCATCTATTTTAGATTAAATTTACAATACATAGCCAGCAAAGTATTGCCCCACTCGTACAAGAAAGTAATGCTGTTTACTGAAGGGTGCGCTGTGTCCTTAGTGTTTATCTATTCTGACATTTAAGATACCATCAAAGTCACCAACAACTGCCATATTTGAACCATGTGAAAGAATTGCTGATGAAAGTGTAGATATTATGAGGTCAAATTGAATTGTTCCGGGTGAAGACCAGTACAGGTAAAGATGATGAACTAACAATTTTAGTGTTTGGTAACACTTGCACACTGCCCTGTCTGCTTCAAACTTTGAGTGGTGGCAAAGTTGCAGCACGGCTTCTCTCATTTCCTTTGGTCAAGTAAAGCTACTTAGAAAGAAGCCAATTTGGTGTTTTCCATTTTAAAAAGATGGTAATTTATTTCACTTGCTAAGAATTAAAACCCATTACATTAAGAACAGAACATAGAGTATAAGAAACTGATCTGTAGTCTTCAGTAAAATCTAAGCAGGCGACGAAGGGGACAGTTTTTTTTTGTGTTCAAGTGTGTAACTCTGACAGAGATGTCATTCATTGCCCGAAAGGGTTTGAGAATTGATTGAGCCTAGATGAAATCGAGATGATAGATTTTCTTCTCTGAAGATGAACTAGTTGTCCAATTAAATGTTGTAGGAGGGCTTTAAAAAATGGTGCGCTAATTGCCAAACAGGCACCTTCTTACTAATATTTTCAAATTTTTATTTCTGATTACATTTCACAGCCAGGGGAATGTGGTGGCCCTCTGTTGGGGTGGGAAGGAAGCCCTCATCCACAGGGCAACTGCTTTTGCACCCAGGCAGGCTGGGAGGGTCTCTATGCCTGCTTAGAGCGCTGAACCCAGGCTTTTCCATTACATTCCCAGTCTGCTACTAGGTACCCTTGTCCAAGTAATCTAGTCTGGACCCCATCAGTGTGGTAAACCAGAGGCCACAGGAAAACTCTGATCCACCACTTTAAATTTGCCCTCAAATGAGTCTTTTAGTGAATCTGATTGGTTTGGGCAAGTAAGGGAAATCTTGCATTTTGGTTCTTCAAGTAATTTTCACCCCACCTACCTTTGTGGTCCTGGCCAGGTTGAAAATTCCACCCAATTATACATGAGGAGGGGGAAGATTTCTAAGATACACTTCACAATTGGAACCTGATTTTTATAAAACGTTGAAAGCAGAGCGCTCATTTATAATCTACAAGTAACTCTCAAAATATGTTTGCCTTGCATATCTAATGTGAAAGGTTGGGGAGGCAAGATTCTGTGCTTCCTTACATTGTTATATATTGAGTCTTTTATATGTTTTATTATACCCAGTTATTTTTCAGAGTTTTCATTTGGCTATACATTGTATTGAAGAAAAGAAGGTACAATTTATGCTGTATTTTTACTACACTGCAATCATTTTGGTATAAACAATCTTGACCTCCGTGTTCCTTTAGTCACACACACACACACACACACACACACACACACAGGATGAGGGCTTCCCTCCCTCCCCAACAGTGCACTACCTCATATCCCTGGCTACAAAATGTATTTAGAATTATAAATTTGAAAATAAAGATTCAGTTTCAAATAACTACAAGTCACCAAGGCTATTGAGAATTTGTTTTGAGTGGAATTTGAGATTTCGTAAATATTTGAACTTTATTAATGTAAAATTTAGGTTCTTTGAAGTCGTGGAAACAGTGTATAATTTCACAAACTGGGCATTTCTGTTTATTACAAGTCTGACAACTAATAAAGTTAGAAAAGATTTCCTTTTAAAATATGTTTAGAGTCAGAGTTATACAACACAAAGGCTCTTCAGCTCATGGTGGCTATGTGAGTCATCAAGCATCTACCTACTCTAGTCCCATTTCCCAGCATTTGGCCTGTAACCTTTTTTATGCTTTTTTTATAGTGCTTTTAGTGCTCATCTAAATACTAATTAAATGTTGTAATACTTCTCGGGCAGTAACTTCCAGATACTCACGACCCTTTGGGTGAAAAGAAATCTTCCTTAAATCCTCTCTAAACCTCGTGCCCTTTAAATCTATGTCCATGTACTAAGTGGAAAAGTTTCTTTGTACCTATGCCCCTCATAGTTGTGTACACCTCAGTCAGGTCCCCCACCCCTACCCTCAGCCTTTTCTGCTCGAAAGATAACAATCCCAGCCTACCTGATCTTCCTTCTAGGCTGAAACCTGTAGCCCAGGCAACATCTTTGTGAACCTCCTCTGCATCTTCTCATGCAATCACATCCTTCCTATAGCGTGATGACCAGACTTGCATACAGTATTCCGGCTGTGCTCCAACTAATATCTTGTACAGCTCAACCATTACCTTCCTGCTATTGTATTTCATGCCTCATCTAATAAAGGCAAGTATTCTATGTGCCTTCCTAACCACTTTATCTACTTACCCTGTTGTCTTTAGGGCTTTGTGGAAATTGCACTTCAAGGTCATTCTGATACACTTCTTCCTTGAGACCTATCAATCATTGTGTACTCCCTTGCCTTGTTAGTCCTCCCAAAATGCATCACCTCACAATTTTCAAGAATAAACCTATTTTCCATCTGTTCATCCGACTAGTCTGCTGATAATGTCCTGTGATCTAAGGCTTTCCTCCTTGCTATTTAGCACACCAAGTGTCTTTGTAACATCTCATAAAAGAGAGTGGAATTTGAAATGGTTAGCTTATGAAGTTTTTCTTTATCTAATAAAGAATGTAATTTACCCCCGAGTAGACCTTTATGAATTTTAATGACAAGCATTGTCATTGTGCTATGTTGCCGTAGATTCTTTATGTGAATGTTAATGATCTAATGCAAGGAACTAATGATTTTATCCAACCTCCTTCCCCCACCCCCCACCACCCCACTCCCCCATTTTAAACATATTTCTGTCATTCTTTCTTGATGTTATCTTTCAATCTGTCATTCAGCAAAATTAGAGGTAATGCTGCTTTATGGAAACGTATGAAGTAAGTGGTATGAAGGATTGTGGAATCTGAGGTTTGAGGCTTGTGGTAAGGGATATTTGATGCATTTCCAAATATCTCATCAGCACTCAGTAGCTACGCAAGTAAACAGGTATTTTCACATGGTAACAGTAACAATAAACATGCTATTTCATTCCTCCCAGAAAGTAAGTTTGTGATTTTGAATTTTATTCATTAACTGATATCTAAAATGGATTGACTGCTTATTACATAGAAAATAAGAGCAGACATAAGCCATTCAGCCCTTGGAGTCTGCTCCACCGTTCAATACGATAGTGGTTGATCATCCAACTCAATAGCCTGTTCCTGCTTTTCCCCATTTCCCTTGATCTATTTAGCTCAAGCGCTATTTCCAACTCCTTCTTGAGATCATATAATGTTTTGGCCTTGACTGTTTTCTGTGGTAGTAATTTCCACCGGCTTGTCACTCTCTGGAAGAAAGGACTGAGATGAGGAGAAATTCTAACTGGTATGCCTTGTATCTTTAAACTATGACTCCTGATTCTGGAAACTTTTTCTGTGGGAGGAGAAATCTGGACTCTGCATTCCTTGATCATTTTTGGTCTCCCCTTCCCACCAGACCATGATCCAGACCTGACAACATTATCACATTTTCACTTCTCCTTTTATCCCAAACTGCCCTCACCAGAGTAGTCTCTTTCATGAGAAAAATCTTCTAAGTCCTTGTCCTTCTGTACTTTCAGTTCTTAAGGTCCTTAAAGCCCCTTCATAGCCCACTGGCAGCTGTATTCTTGTGTTGAGCAGTGTTGTCCCTCACAGTTTCAAGCTCCCACAGTTATCTCACTATGTAAAAGCATATCTTTGATCCTCTATTCTCTGTAATTTCTGCCCCATTTTCCTAAAGTTCTGAAAAAAATCACTTTTCTCAGCATTCCAAGTTCAGTTTGGCTTCTCTTGTCACCACATTTCTAAAATGGTCAACGTCACCAGGAACATTCTGTACAATTGCAGCGCAGTATCCCTCAAACTTTCTGCAGTTTTTGATGAGCTATTCCTTACTGCAACATTTTTTTTAAAAGATTGTTACCGCCTGAATTCTAGCCTGGGCATAGGGTTAGGGTTAGGTTATCGCATTCCATGCAAGAATACTGTTTTAATGTCAGGAAATCTTGGAAGAACAGGCTTCCCAATCATCCTACAATTTTTAACTGCAGTGTCCCTTTAAATTTTTGTCTGTTTTCACAGTAGGCAATCGGACAGGTTTGACTCCTGTTGGTTTGGAAACTGTCAGCATAATGTTGCGGCCAAGGAGAGCTGATAAGCCTACTGAGCAGGAGAGTGGGATAAGCGGGAATGTTTTGGCAGCAACAACTTTCTTATCATGAAAGTCCCACATTGGAAATAAATCGCTCGGTTAACATATTTAAACCTGGTTCCTGCAGTCCAACTAGAAGCCTGACACACAACTTTTTAATAGTTGGCACAAGTTGCTATTTCCAAGGACTTGGGAAACCTGGCACTGAAAAGGAACTGGGAGCTGAAGTAAATAAAATTTTCCTTCCTACAGCACTTCTTGTCAGCCAGAAGGAACAGGAGATCTCCTCCTAGCCCCTCAAGAAAACCTAAATTGGTCTCTTCTCTTTCAGTCACATCCTTTATCTCCACCTTGCCACAATCCTAAACCTTTCCTCCGTTTCTGTCCCTGTTCCGAGCTTCAAATCTTGATGTCTTGCTCCCTGTAGTGGTGACTAACTTCCTTGCCCCTTCCCCAGAATATGTTCAATTCCTCCCTCCACCTCCTGCTAGTAGCTTTCCTCCAGCTGTCAGGTGGATAATTAAAGAAAAGAATTTCGAGGACCTGGCCTTACCAGTTTAAGACTGTGCTCTTCTCGCACCCTCCCATTCTCTGATACATAGGTAAATATCTGAACCTAACCTAGTACTGCTGCACAATTACATTTTGGATTTTCATTGTTCAAAAATCCCACCAAGTGATATGTTTATTTGTTAAGTCATTGAGAGAAAGATAGAACACAGAATTAAAACCGTGGAAGTGCAGGTGTGAGAGAGTTCTGCCTGGCGCAGGGATGCACTTAACCCCACGCCAGTGATCTATGTTATGGATCATTTTATAATGTTGCCAGCTCCTAGGCCTTCATCTGGAATCCTCCCTTTGCTGACCCAAAGATTGACTAGAGCTCAGTTTGTTGTGTTGTTTCAATGCCATGTGAATTTAGCTAGCAAGTTGGGAGCAATGCATTTTTTTCTTTGTAAAGTGCTTGGTGTCGGCTTTCAAATCCTTTAATTTTTAAATTCCTGTCATCTTGTCACTGCTAGCACTACTCCTGACTTCTGCAATGCACATTTCAATGCTGCACGTTACAAAAACACCATAGTTTCATGCACCAAATGTTGCTAAAGTTAAAAATATAGGGAAATGTATTGTGTTTATGTTTTTTATTGTTTTACAGCTATTTCTAATCTTGCTCTAAATTATCTTGAGTGGAAAATGAAACCGGTAACAGGTGTAATTTGAAGACATGAGAATGATTCCTGAAGAACTTTTGGTTCACAGGACTTAAATCACACCACAATATTAAGCCAAGATTTTCATTAATTTGTCCATAATTATTTTCTGTAATCTACTTCATGTAAATACTCAACGACTACTGCAATAATCAAATAATCTCCCACAGGCAAAGATAATTGAGTGATGTGATGACCTGTCTGTCTAATTATAACCAGCAAGAGGATCCTTTCTGGAACCTGGCAATGTGGATCTGTTAGCGGATGTCAAATGTTATGCCTTTATTTCCTGTCATCTTAAGCAATTGAAAGATTGGGAGTAACAGTTGTTTTTTTTCTTTCATTCTGATTCTGAATTCATTTATATTTCTTAGTGAGGAAAAAATTGCATATTTTCCTGATTCTATTCCTGTGCTTTTTTTTGTCCGTTGAAATAAATTGACCCTGTCTGATTTATCATCAATTTAAGGGCATGTGATCCTTCCCAGTGTTTGCAATGTGCAGGAAATTCAATGCAGGGAATTTTATCTCCATCTGAGATATATTCACTTTTTTTTTTGTCTCCTGCTTTATCGCCTGAACCAAATTGTGATGCCATGGCCCATTGCAAATGGTTGTCTGTCTTCTAAAACTGTTAGCATCATCCACCTCAAAATAAAATTCACCTCGTTTCCCTTTGTCTCTACAAATTACGTTCTCTGCAATTCTCTATTCTTCTCAGAAGTCATTAAAGGTACTATCATATCCTAAATCCAAATTCTTCTTTCCTACAACTTCATACTTTGGAGACACCAATCAGTTTCCGCTGGTACCATCATGCTTGCTTGCACCAATCTCCTAATGAACAATTTGCAAGTGTCATTTGCCTACCTTCTCCTCCTACTGTGAACATTCTTCCTTGAACAAAAGTCTAATTCCCTTATGAATGCTTCTTTTGAACCTGTATTCACCTACTCTCAGGCCATGCATCCCAGACTAATCACAGCCCAAAAACGATTTTCCTAATATTTGTTTTGCTTATTTTTCCAATAACGTTTTAAATCCCAGCCGGCTTGTTCTCGATCCTTTCCTATGTGAAATTCTCCTAATTTTGTCCAGATCCCTCATGAATTCAGATATCTCTATTAAATCTCCTTTGTAGCTTTTTCTTCCATGAGCAAAACAGTCCCAACTTAACCAATCTTTATTCGTATTTGAAGTTCTTCGTCGTTGTGAACTGTTATACGTTTTATCTAATGGCTTCAATCTTGACTATAATGTTCACTATAGAACTGGACACACTATTCTATTTGAGGTCAGACAGTTGTCTTGTATAAATTGAACATAACCTCCTGGTTCTTGTACTCTCTTCCCCTATTAATAAAACATATTATACTCACTATTTTATTAACTCTTCCCAACACTGACTCTGGAATCTCCACTGTATGTTCTTTCTTGCAACTGAAAACAATCTATTAATAGCTACAGTCCATATCATGTCACTCAGCCAATTCCTTCCTAAATTTCCCCTGTTTCCTTTTTAAAAACTTTTATAATTATTACCTAACTTTTTCTACTTTTTATGCAGTTTTCTTTTTGATTACATACATCTTTTTATATATAAAAGAGAGAGTGTGTGTGTGTGTTGTTAGCAAAGGCTGGGAAAAATGGGTCCCATTATTTCAAGCTGTCTTCCTTGCAATAGTGTGTTTTTGTAATGGAACATTTCTCTTAAACATTGTCAAAATGCTTTTGGCAGTTTGAAGGGGTTGAGAACAAGATGCTGCTGTCATCTTTTCAACTTGCAATTTTAACCTTGTACTTGCAAGTCTGTCCTTGTAAAATATGTAAATTTGAAAAATGCAAAATTCTATCCCTCTATCAAATGAGGGCAACATTCTTTCAGTTCAGTTTTTTTAATTAATTTTTTTTTTTAAGTTTACTATTTAATTCTATCTTCAGGGATACATCTGGACAGGGCAGGTTCTGCACCATCTTCCGTTCCTACTCTCGAGGAGCCCAGGTAAAGAAAAGTATTTTGAACTAAAATTTGTATTATTGAACTTGTTATCTTCCTATGCTATGCCTGAAGGTACAATAGTGTTTTTATCCACTGAGAATGCATAAATAATTAATTTTGAGGTGGAAAATACAAGAGCAGATAGTAATTTCTGAGAAATAAAGCCCCAATTCAAAAAAAGTGATCATATGAAGATAATTACTTCACATTCAAATCTGCAGTCAAAGAATAATATGTTTCTTCTTTTTGTTCGTAAAAATGTTTTTTTAAATTTCTGGTTGTACGTGTCTTCTTTATTTCTGTGACACATTCTGGGTTTGGTGAACCACTCTGGAATGTCCTGAAGTACTTCAGTTTCTATTTACTGTGAATGGAGCTCTTCCTGGTAAGCAGTGGGAGTATAGATTCACAGAAATTAGTTCTTCATAGCTTGTTTAGCAAAATGTAATAACCATCTACTGAAAAGTGAGCAACAACTTTATTAGTACAGTGATGTAAATGTTCATTTTTCATTGTATGAACTGCGAAGTTTACAGTGTAACTGCTACAAAGGAAGTATATGTCTGTGAACTAATTCGTTGAAGATTTTAGTTTTGCTAATCGTGAGGTAACTTGACCAAAGTCCACTATAAAACAGATGTTTGGGGGAAAAAAAAACAATTACCGTAATCCTTTATTTTTGGGAAAACATTTTTTGTTCTGTGCTTTAGCTACATTTGTGGTTCATCTGTTCTCTTATCTTGTGCAATTTATAAATTGAACACTAATTCCTTACTTCAACATAACCACAGATAAATGAAGAATCGTTTGTGTCGTGAGGTCAGCTTTCCACTCGTGCTGATGATGCACAGCACCTCCCATGACCTTTCACTGTTTCGATGCTCTCAAACAGCTTATTAGAGCAGCATCTCCGTTTCCTGCAACTCTGTGCTGAGAACAGTGAAGATATCATCTTCAGGTCCCATAACAAGCACCACACATTTCAAACAAACAATCCAAATATGACTTTTTGGAACTACTGCCTTTTGGATGAGATATTAAATGAGACTCTCTCCATTTTGGTTAAGTGTAAAAGGCTCGCTAGGCAGTACTCAATGACAAAATTAATCCAATTCTGGCCTCTTCTACACCTTTTTGATATTCATCATTGTCAATCGCTTTCTACTCCCATGGCCGTAAGCACCAGAATTCCCTCCCCAAAGCTTTCCATCTCTTGCATTTTCTGGTAACACTTGTGTGAAATGATTTACAACGTTTCACTACATTTAAAGGGGTGACATAAATACAAACTGTTCTTGTGTTACCTGTTGACTTTTGTTTGGGGCTCAATTTTGAATGTTTGGATATGTCATGTCCACCTCCATTATTACTCATTACATTGGCAAATGTGTTTCTTGCCAACTTATCTGGTCATTGTAAAATAGTTCAGGTATATTCTGTTTCTAGTTTTTGGCAGCTGGAATGGGGTAGGTTGGAAGAGAAGGCATTGTAAAAATTACATCTGTGTTTCTTTCCCTTATTTTTTTGGGACTGTGGATCAGAACTAGAAAAAATATTGCTTTGAGTCAAGGAGCCTGTTAAATGAGAATGGCTACAGTTTTTAAAAATTTTTAATTGGACCTGTTTACTAATTGGAAAGCAAATGGAGCTAATAGGTGCATGAGAAACTATCGACCAGATTTGCAGAGGTACTCTCTTTGCAGTCCACTGGGTTGTGAATGGGTTCTGGAGTCCAATTTGAGATGTATCCCTAACCATAAGATAGACGAGCAGAATTAGTCCATTAAGCCCATTGAGTTTGCTCTGTTCATGGCTGATATGTTTCTCAACCCCATTCTCCTGCCATCTTGTAACCTTTGATCACCTTAAGTATAGTGCAAGCAAACTCAATAGCAAAATTCTTTGAATTGAATAAATACTTGAAGGTAAAAGATATAAAGCTCTCACTAGCACTGTAGAGATTGAAGCAAGAAATATTTTGAATGATACAAGTAGAATATTTAATTTACTTGCATTTATAGAAAGCAGTTGAGAAAGACTCTGTAAAGGAATTTATAAAAGGTTATTAACAAGGACTAAAAAATAGAATGGTAAAGTTTTAAGTCACTGATGACAACATATAATGTGACTAACATCACATAATTTCTGATACTTTGCACTGTTTGACAAAATCATTCTAAAATTATTACCCTGTCCAACAACAACAAATCTCAAAGGGGGTGTCTGTATTAAAAACCAAATGCACAAAAATATCCGCATTAACCATATTTCACTATCTAAATTTCATACAGTATTTAATTTGCTTATTTGTAGTTGTCAGCCTATCTGAAACATCCATTTCCTCCATCATTAACACATAGTAATAGTAGTTACAACGACAACACCTTCTGGGTGCCAACCATTTTGACTCCTCCCACTCCCTGGGTGACATGTCCATCCTGGGCCTCCTCCAACATCACAATGATGACGCCACCTGCAAACCGGAGAAGCAACACCTCGTATTCCGCCTCGGGAGCCTACAGCCCGATGGCTTAAACATGGAATTCACCAGTTTTAAAATCTCCCCACCCCCAGTGTCATCCCATGTTCAAGCCTCCCTCCCATCCCCGCCGCCTTGACCTGACACAACCTGTCCATCTTTTGTCCCACCCATCCCACTGACCACTCCCCACCTCTCCCTACCTGCACTCACCTATCATCATCCCACCTACATTCCCCAGCCCCTCCCCTCCTCTCTCTTTATTTCCCAGCTTCCTTCCCCCTCCACATTTCTGAAGAAGGATCCTGACCTGAAACGTCAACTTTCCTGCTCCTCTGATGCTGCCTGACCTGCTGTGTTCCTCCAGCTCTATACTGTATTGACTTTGATTCCAGCATCTGCACTTCTTGCCATCTGAGTAACAGCAGTGTGTAACATTTTATAAGATGCACTGCAGCAATTCTCCAAGCCACCTTCAACAGCACTTTCAAACCCTGATTTGGATCATCTAGAAGGACAAATACAGCAAACGTATGGGAACACCAGCATCTTCAAGTCCTACACCATTCTGACGTGTAAATATATCATTGTTCTTTTTGCTGTCTTTGGACACAGTCGCACTTGCTAGCAGCAGTATAGGTATACCTATACCAGGTGAACTGCAGCAGATCAAGAAGACGGCTCATCACAACCTTCTCGAGGGTAGTTGGGATGTGTAATAAATGCTGGCATAGCTAGTGACGCCAACATTCAGCACATGAATGTAAAGAAAACTATTGAGGACAAAATAAAGATACTGAAAATACAAACAAGAAAGGAATCAAAATAAGTGCAGTTAAAAATAATGTGTAGTCAGGACAGAGGAAGAAAACTTGAGAAATAGGAAGTAATAGAAAAATAGAAGCATGAAAAATTAAAGCCAGAACAATAAAGTAATGCATGGGGAAAGAAAATAAATGAATCTAGGGATGAAAATATCTTTTTAAGAAAGAAGATGGGCATTGCTAGCTGGAAAGGTATGTAGGAGAATGCCTTGTCAGAAAATGTTCTTTGGTGTGTTGCAAAACATTTTAGAAAACAGTCGGATTATTATCAGCTTTCTTTGATTTTTATAGGGTGTAATCTTGGTCTATGACATTACAAATCGTTGGTCATTTGATGGTATCGACAGGTGGATCAAAGAAATAGATGAGGTAAGGCACATTTCATCTCTAGTAGTTCGTGAGCAAAGGTGACTGACCTAAATACCGAAGAAGGAAGAGGATCGTTTTCTTTGATCTTTGATCATTGATCTTAGTAAGATGATAGTTCGGCACAACATTGTGGGCCGAAGGGCCTGTTCTGTTCTATGTTCTATGTTTTACTGGAATTTCAATTGGAGACAAATGGAGAACATGGAACAGTACAGAAAAGGAACAGACCCTTCAGCCTACCATGTCTTTGCTCACCATGCTGCCATTTAAACTAAATCCCATCAGCCAATGCATGATTCATACTCCTCTATTCTCCCTCTGTTCATCTCTGTCTAAATGCCTCTCAAGTTGCTGTCATATCTACTTCGACAAACTTCTACCCTAACACTGCATTCCAGGCACTTACCACCATGTGTGTTTAAAAAGAAATTGCCTTGCACACTTCCTTTTAAACTTGTCCCTCTTACTTCAAACTTGGGCCCCTTAGTATTTAACATTTCCACCCTGGGAAAAAGACTCCGATTATCCACCCTATCCATGCCTCTCATAATTTTATATACTTCTATCAGGTTGCCCCCTCAGTCTCTGACACTCTCGTGAAAATAATCCAAACTTGTCCAACCTCTCTTTATAGCTAATGCACTCCAATCCAGGCCACGTCCTGGTAAACCTCATTTGCACACACTCCAAAGCTTCCACAATCTTCCTTTTGAACACTAAATGTGGGCCAGCTAAGGTTTTTTATATAGCTGTACCATGATTTGCCATCTTTTCTATTCCATGCCCTGACTGATGAAGGCAAGCATGCCTCACGCCTTCTTGACCACTTGATATACTTGTGTTGCCCCTTTAAGGGAGCTTTCGACTTGTACCCCAAGATTTCACTGTATACTAATGTTCCTAAGGGTCATGTCATTTACTGTATTCCTTCCTCTTGCATTTGACTGCCCAAAATGCACCAGCTCATACTTGCCTGGATTAAACTCCATCTGCCATTTCTCCACCTAGTTTTCCAATTGATCTGTATCCTTTGACAACCTTCCTTTATATCCACAATCCCATCAATTTTTGTGTCATCTACAAACTTACTTATTAGACGACCTACATTTTCATCCAAATCATTTGTATAAATTACAAACAGCACAGCTCGAAGTCCACTGATCCTTGCAGAACACCACAGTCAGAAAAACACCCCTCCACAACTGCTCTGTCTTCTATGACCAAGCCAATTTTGTATCCAACTTAGCAAGTCACCATGGATCTCTTCTGGAGAAGCCTACCATGAGGGATCTTGTCAAATGCTTCAGTAAAGTCCACTTAAACGACATTCACTGCGCTGCCCTTAATCATCTTCGTCACGTCCTTGAAAAAAATCAATCAAATTTCTGGGACAAGACCTCCCCCATATAAAACCATGCTGACTATCCGTAATACGTCCATTATTTTCCAAACGCAAGGAAATTCCGTCCCTAAGAATCTTCTCTAATTATTTCCATTCCTCTAATGTTAGGCTTATTGGCCAATGATTTTCTGGATTATCCCTATTGTCCTCCTTAAAGAAACAACATTGGCTGTTCTCCAGTCTTTTGACAGCTTTTGGCTGTGGCTAATGAGGATCTCTGTCAAGGCTCCAGCAATCTCCTCCCTCTGTATCATGGGATAAATCTGTTTCTGATTTATACACTAAAAAACAAGTCTTGTGAAGATAACATTTTCAATGGTGTATTAAACTGTTACAGAATTTATTGTTTTGATGGATTAATTCAAAGAAGATTTTATTAGTCAAGTTAGTCTGGTTTGAGAAAAAGAGGGCAACATTCTTAAGTTGGAAGATGAACTAAGAAGTGGAAGGTGAATGAAAGCATGAATACTATTGATAAGAGATTAGTTGACCCGTGTGTGTGGTTTTTTTTCTGCGTATGTTGAATTTGCGGAATATTATTTCACGAGGACCACTTGACTCCAAGTCTGATTATACTCTTGATCCTATGATGTATGAAAGAGGTGAATTTGTCTGGTGAGGTGTGTGTGTGTCTTCCACTTGGTACTTCTGGCAGTGATGGTTGCAAATGTTTCATCCATTACTTTTGCAATTGGCTGTTGTACTGCCTCTACTTTTCATTTGAGGATGGGGTTGTTAATGGAGCGGCATCCTTCCATTAGTTTAACTGCCCCACTGCTATTCAAGCCTGCATTTGACAGGACTGCAGAATTTTGATTCGACCTGTTGGGTCTGAGATTATTTAGCTTTATTTATGGCATGCCTGTCCACAATTTTCACGTGCATACTCATGGGCTTTAACCTTAGCAGTTTTGGACCTTTGTTTTTAGGCGTGGTTAGTCCGATCATGCTCTCCTGCACTCCTCATTGAACCAAGGTTGGTCCTTTGACTTAATGGAGAGTGGTAGAATGGATTTGTCAGTCAAGTAAATTGAGAGTGTTGGATACTCTGTGTTCGTGGGAAGACTCCAGAAGTAGTGGGGCTTGATTTCCAGTGCACTATCCCCAGTGAGTCGAGCCTAATGTGAAGAGTCAAGGACTATGCAATGGTCACTCCTGCTAATGCTGTCATGGACAGATGTATCTGACAATTAGATTGGTAAGAATGAGCATTTTACTCAACTAGTCCGTTGAGATTGTGGTCCCAATTTTGGAACAAGTTCCAGATGTTAGTGAGAAGTACACTCCTTGGTCAATGTAGGATAGACCTCTGGTTTTATTCTTGTATGCTGTCGAATGGCTTGCAAGTCATTTCACAAAACAATTAAGAATCATCTATACTACTGTGGTTGATAGTCACGTGCAAACTGGATCATTTGTCCATACATCTGAATTACTAATTCATTCACAAAACTACTCTGCTACTGTTCTGATTTTGTAAATATATTCCTTGTTTCCTTTTCTCAGCATGCCCCAGGTGTACCTAAGATCCTGGTTGGGAATCGTCTTCACTTGGCCTTTAAGCGGCAGGTATCAACAGAACAGGCTCAGGCTTATGCTGAAAGGCAAGGCATGACATTCTTTGAAGTTAGCCCTTTGTGCAACTTTAACATCATTGAGTCATTCACAGAACTGGCAAGGATTGTGTTAATGCGGCATGGAATGGACAGGCTTTGGAGGCCTAACCGTGGTAAGGTTTTAATTTTCTTAATACTGTTAAGTTGGAGAAATTTATTTTTTTTTTCTCCAAAGTTACAAGATCCACAAGGTCAGCATCCAAGATGAAACTCCTCTTTTTTTTTAAAAAAAAAAAAAAAAATCTGATTTGTAAATACAGGAACTCAAAGTTGTGTATTTCTAATTATTGTGTTTATTGCAACCGGAGATCCGTACAAAACACTACCTTCCAGATGTCTCAATAATAAATTTCATCCTTCTCCCTGGTTGCACAGTCGAGCAAGATGTCGATGGCTTGTCAATTCACAGCTATACATCAGACTTCATAACAATTATCAAGACAGCTAATTTGTACTTAGGCCTGCTTTCTCTCCTCCTTGTACCCATCACCAATAGAACTGTTAGGGCTATCTTCATTGCCTTTGCCTTTGGATTAGATTTCTACTGTAGTCTTTTGCTGACTGTGTCTTGTCACTCATTATCCCTGTCACTGGGCTGCATTGGCTCAGAATATATCTGAGGATAGGCCATCATCTTGTTTTAGCCTTGATGCCTCTCCCTTCGAAACCCTCATCTTTTTATTACTTTCCTGATGCTTCCATCAACGTCTTGCTCCATACAGCTAAAATTTTTAACTACTTGAGTATTATGATGGAAGATGAAAAATTGTGGGTTTCTTTTCTCCACTATCTGTTTTCTCCTGAGATGCTGCTCCCCTATTTTTTCCCCTAACATTGAACAGTATGTGCAAGTAGACTCATGAACTTAATAACTAAAATTGAGACACTCCATTCAAAAGATATCCCACCATGCCCCAGCATTCACACTCCTCTAACAAGAAAGAAAAGCTTGCATTTACATAGCATCTTTCATGTTTGGTATGCTTGCCTTAATTGGTCAGTGTATTGAGTATAGGAGTTGGGAAGTCATGTTGTGGCTGTACAGGACATTGGTAGGCCACTTTTCGAATACTGCATGCAATTCTGGTCTCCCTGCTATAAAAAGGATGTTGTGAAACTTGAAAGAGTTCAGAAAAGATTTACAAGGATGTTGCCAGGGTTGGAGGGTTTGAGCTTTAGAAAGAGGCTGAATAGGCTGGGGCTATTTTTCCTGGAGTATCAGACTGAGGGGTGGCCTTATAGAGGTTTATAATATCATGAGGGACATGGATAGGGTAAATAGACAAGGTTGTTTCCTGGGATGGGAGAGTCCAAAACTAGAGAGCAAAGGTGAGAGAGGAAAGACTTAAAAGGGAACTAAGTGGTGCCTTCTCCATGCAGAGGGGGTGCGTGTATGGAATGAGCTGCCAGAGGAAGTGGTTGAGGCTGGTACATTGACAACATTTGAAAGGCATCTGCATGTGCACATGGATCTTTTTCAGATTGCCACAATGTAACAAATGGAGTTCCACAGAGGTCTCTGCTGGGACCTCATCTTTTTACAATTTATGTCAATGATTTAAAGGAGGGGAATGTAGGCATGGTAGCTAAATTTTCAGATGTTGCAAAGATAAGTAATAAAGTATGCTGTGAAGACCACAAGAGCGAATGGGCAAATATCTGGCAGATGGAGCATACTGTAGTGAAATGTTCACTTTGCAAGACAAATAAGCAGAGTATTACTTAAGTAGAGAACAACTGCAATTCCAATGTGCAGTGGGATCTAGCGGTTCTAGAATGAGCCACAAAACATGTTAGTATGCAAATACAGTAGCAATTAAACACAATTCTTTTATTACAAGAGGTATTGAACATAAAAGTAATAATGCTTTGCTTTAGTTTTGCAGTGTAATGATGAGACCATGTCCTGAATACTGTGTACAATTTTGGTCTCCTTGTTTAAGGAATGATGTAGATATATTGGAGGCAGTTCAAAGGTGATTAATGAGACTGATACCCCTGGAATGAGTGGGTTGTCTACAGAGAAAATGTTGGACAAAGTTAGGTTTGTTCCCACTGGAGTATGAGAATTAGCTTCATTGAAGTGTATAAGATCTTGAATGTTCTTGATAAGATGGGTGTGAAAATAATGTACCTCTTGTGGGTGTCTAGGGAGTACAACTTTAAAATTTAGAGATCACCCTCTTAGGCACAGATGAGGAGAATTTCTTTTCTAAGTTGTCTGAATTTGGAGCTTCCTGTCTCAAGGTAGTGGAGATAAGGTCATCAAACGTGTTTAAGGCAAAGGTAGATTCTTGTTAACCAGGAGAATCAAAGGTTATTGGGGTTGGATAGGAATCCAGAATTTGAAAAAGTCAACAAATTAGTCATGAACTTATTGATTGATGGAACAGATTCAAAGGGTTGAACAACTTACTTCAGCTTCAAATTCAATGTTCATATGAGTACCCTGCAATGTCGTCTGCAATCTACGAAAGCCAGAGCACTCATGAAGCATCTTTTGATTCACAAAAATCAGTTACAATCAAGGAGGGGACATAAGAATATATTGCCCAAGTCACGAACAATCTCGAAGGAATTGCAGCAGTCTGAGTTAACTTGACCAGCAACTTAATTTCTATCTGATTTTACTAAAACATGTTAATTCATGTTCAAATTGCCAAGCCTAATCAAGCATTTATTTAAAGGCTTGTTACAGGGTACAGAAGATTGAGCCATTAGCTATGCTGAGTGGTCAGTACAAAATAATGGATTGAGAGAAAATCTCCTTTACTGAACAGGCAACCTGGCTTTGGAATGTGTAGTATACTGCCACCATTTGGTGTATGGCCAAACAAACAAATGCATTATGCTTCCACATTTAACAGTATCATTAAAACGTACTAGAATTGCAGTTGATTCTTCAGGTGAGGGGGATGAAACTGAAACCTCTTTATATTCTACTATGATAGATGAATATCTTGTTAGGGCAGTAAACATTTCACTCAATTTAAGGACTTTCATTCTTTATTTTGCTATTTTGTTTTAGGACCACATTATTAATAATATATTTTCAGGACACATGCTTAAGAAAATTGGGGCTAGGTGGCAATTTGTGATTGATTAAACAGCAGAAGTGTTTCTATCACTGATGCAAATAAGCACTTTTGTAATTTTCAATGATACATGTTTTTATTGTCGTTCCATTATTTGTATCAGTGATTTCACTGCGTATGACATGTCTCTCGCCTAACCCTAGCTGCTCGCCTACAGGTGGTTAAGCTATCCTGTTGGGTCAGGAAACTGAAGAATCCTAGTTAGCCTCACTTAGGTTTCCTTCGTAAGGATCTGAACCAGTCTAGTTGGCTTGCTTGTCCTTTGAGGTCACTTGCTGGCCCAATCTTGGCTTGTCTGGAACAAGCACTGCTGCCTCGTAGCACCGGGGACCCAGGTTTAATTCCAGCCTTGAGCAACTGTCTGTGTGGAGTTTGCACATTCTCCCCATGTCTGCATGGGTTTCCTCCCACAGTCCAAAGATGTGCAGGTTAGGTGGATTAGCCATGCTAAGTTGCCTGTAGTGTCTAGCTTTGGAAATGCAGGTAGTGGGTGGGTTCTGGGTGGGATGCTCTTTGGCGGGTCAGTGTGGATTTGATGGGCCAAATGGCTTGCTTGTAGGGATTCTACGAAGATCAGAAAACCATATTCTCAGCTACAGTTAGTCATGGAGTCGTCTGAGTCATATAGCATGGAAACAGGCCCTTCAGTCCAACCAGTCCATGCTGAACATAATCCCAAATCAAACTACTCCCACCTGCCTGTTCCTGGCTCATAGCCCTCCAAACTGTTCCCATTCATGTACTAATCCAAATGTCTTTTAAACATTGTAATTGTATTCATATCCACCACTTCCTCAAAGTTCATTCCACATGATAACCGGCCTCTGTGTGTTTTTTAAAAAAAAAAAAAAAAAAATTGCCTTGTGTCTTTTTAAAATTTCTCTCCTCTTACCTTTAAATATGTGCCCTATCTGAGGGAAAAGACAACTACCATTAACTCTATTTATAAGTCTCACTATTTTATAAACTTCTATCAGGTCGACGCTCCAGTGAAAAATCGTTCCAGCCTGTCCAGTCTTTCTTTACAACTGAAACCTCCATACCTGCAACATCCTGGTAAATGTCTTCTGAACCCACTCCAGCTTGATAATATTGTTCTGTAACTCGAGGCCTGAAAATTCAACCCTTTATTTCTTGCAATAAATTAGCAATTTATTGCTCTTGGAATAGATCCTTGGTGGTTCTTAAAATCTGTTATTAACTATTCCTAGGTAACTAATTTGTATCTTTGATGTATTGTTTTCTTTGCAGTGCTCAGCCTACAAGATCTCTGCTGCCGAGCCATTGTTTCATGCACGCATGTACATCTAGTGGACAAATTGCCCCTTCCTGTTACCTTAAAGAGTCACCTTAAGTCTTTTTCTATGGCCAATGGACTGAATGCCAGGATGATGCATGGACGTTCCTACTCTCTAACTCCTAATGGTGGCAAACAAAGTAGTCTGAAGAAATCCAAGATTATTCGACCTTCCCAAAGTCCAACACAGAGCTGCAGTCGAAACAGTTGTAAAATCTCTTAGCTATGTCCACACGTGGTAAAAGAACATTGAATATCTGATCACTACATATGCCACCTTGACATGCCAGTGTGTTGGCTATTCCAGTGAAAGAACTTCTTCAACAACTAGAAATGAAAAGGGCCCATAAACTGTTGGTTCAAAGTTTGCACAAGGGAGTAAGAAATTATGCTGCTAATTTTAAAACGTGATTGTGAAGGGTGTGTTAATCACAGGTATCTCGGATTCTCTGGACTGATTTGTTTTAATTGGGGTGGGAGTGAAAGTCTGTTTTATGGTAGCTCAATGTCAAAATAATGTTTGTCCATTTTTGTGAGAGCCAGACAACTGAACTATATCTGATTGTTTTAAGTAGATTGGAGGAATTAAGCATGTGATGTTGCTGAATATTTAAAGTTATACTGGGAATTGGAATTTTAATTGCAATGTAAACTATACACTATTGTTTAAACCATTCTTAAATATTGAAGTCCGGAAATGAATCTTCCTGACAGTTGAAGGTCTATTTCTGGGAATATGGCTTGACTTGACAATTTGCAGCCACCCACAAAACAACCTTCAAATTTGTATATAAAAGTTATATGCTGAGAAATATTAAGAATTTGCATATTAATCCATTTTCAAGTTCCTCTGTTAGTTGTTAACTATTGTGGATTAATACTAATTCAGTCATTTGTACATATAATTTTCCTTGTGGAACTATAATTTGTTTTGTACAAAACAAAAAAAAACACTATGAAACTAAGAAGTATAATGCTAACGTGATCAGAAATGCCAAAGATGATGATGGTAGAAATGTTAACAATATGTGGTCAAAGATTTCTGAGTTGAGTATCCATAAAGTTTTGTAATTAAAAAACCTTTGGGGGAGAGTTTTTCTGACCAGAAGTGTGTACTTTGAAATGATCGTACGTGTGCCTGTTTTGAAAAGGTTGAAATATCAACCGAGGTTCTCCTGTCATACTCTCTTGACCTGTTTATTTCAATGTGTTACTAGCTGCTTTGCAGCTTGGGCCATTGTCCTTTGGTTGGTTTCATAAACAAAATGCTTCCATTACAAAGAGTAAAGATGCAGTCACTTTTTAAATACCTACATCTTGATGAAATGCAAACAATTTTGAAAAGTGACATAACAGCCCAGTAATTTTTGTATTGAATTCAGAACCACCATATTTGTGTTTGCATTCTATGTCTGAGTTTTGAATTGTACCTTACCCCAATTAATTCTCCAGGGGACAAATGTTTGCATTTGATCAAGTGACACAACAAGGCAAAAGTGGCCTGCCTGTACCAGTCACACTTACAGTATAGCTGATGTAGTCAACATCAACATATTGTAATTGATTGATACCATTGGGAAAAAAAACTCAATACTTTGATTCATCCTGCCTTCCTTTCTGAAGAATGATCTCTGCTGACAGTTGGAATTAGAGATATATTACTTCATAGTTATCCAGAGAAGTTAATTATGCCAACTAAAATAAAAACTCTTTAATTTTTAAATTAACTTAAGTCTTTCACAGCAACTTTAGCATGTAAAATATCTTGTCCATATTAACGTGTATGTATCACTGTTCACTGACCATCGGTATAAAATCAATTCTCGGCCATTTCAGATTTTGAGCCACGTTATTCACGGCCATCGCCAAGGCATGTGTTTCAAGACTGTGTCATATATACTAACCTCCTGTGATACACCCACAACACATGCTAATTACAAAATTTATCCTTCTAAGTTTTTTCAGGTTTCATGTCATGAAGGGATTGTGTTCTCTGTCATCTTGTTTTATCAAATTTGGCTCCAATGTACGTTACCTATCACCCAATATTGGACTCAAACAAAATATTCAACTTATTTGTATTTTGAAATTTGAGCAGGTGTGGCTCATGGACTAGCGTGTTAGCACACCAATTTTTAGCTCACCATTTGGATCCACAATCCCTGTACCATTATGTATTTGCTGCTGTAATGCAGTAACAAGCTGGCAAGAAGAGATCAAGTAAAATTAGTCTACTGAGTGTAAAAATGAATCAACTGATGACCTAAAGCTCCATGGGATCTATTGCTACTATTCATTGTTTTTAGACGTGCTTAGGTGAAATTAAGCTGTGTATTGGTCTTGTTTTTTTTTCAACGTCAACATTTTGTATCTTGTTAGACAGCTCTTTATACTTCTCAATTTAGACTTTTTCCAGTAGTCCTGTCATGCCATTGCCTACAAGTAGCTTATGAATTGCTTGCAGTTTTTTGATGTTTATGTCTCGGCTGTAGATTAAGACAGCAATTTGTCCATTAGTTTAAAGTAGCAAACACAAGCAGTCTATCCAATGACCGACATGAGATAAAAATGAGACACCACATTGATGCTGACACAGGCCTCACAATTATATTTATTTCTAAATAGGATAAAATTTGAAGTATTTTGTGTTCTACTAAAACATCCCTTTCCAAGTTAATAACATTATGCATTTGTTTTTGAGGTCTGCTTTCCATCATAGATTTGAATTTTTAAAAAATTTTCTTGGGATGGAGACATCGCCGGCCCATATCTAATTGCAGTTGAACTAAATGACTTAAGAGTCAACCATAGTCTTGTGGCTTTTGAGTTAACAAGTAGGCAGACAACAGATTTCCTTCCCTAAAGGACATTAATGAAACACATGCATTTTTACAACAATTGATGATTGTTGTCCTGGTTATTATAAAGCTTGAGTCAGTTATTACTCTAGATTTATTGACTGAATTTAAATTCCACCAGCTGCCATGGTGCAATTTGAGCCCATATCCCCACACCACTAGCCAAGGCCTCTACATGATGAATCCAGTGACATTGCTAATATAACACCATCACCTCCTGTGGGAAGCAAATAACTTTTATTTGTTCTTCTCCATCCCCCAAATTGTTTTAGTTTTTGTTATTTTCATGAATGTTTTATTTGTCTCCCTTTTCGTTTTCAGTAGTGCTTTGTAATTGTCTTTGAAATTTGGTGTGACACTGCACAGTGAGATTTTTCTCCCACTTGCTTATGAATCTAACTGTACTATGGGCAATTCCAACATCAACTTGTATTTATATAATGACTTTTAACTTAGGAAAAAAATGAGGCCTAAATCAACAACGTAGTCAAAGGTTGAAAAAAAAAATGAATGAAGAAGACCAGAATTGTCAAGTAGTAGTTTAAAAGCCTGATTGGAAGTAAGAAACTTTACAGTTTTGAAGCCTGAGAACGTAGGGATTGTATTGGATTCTGAAGCTGCTGAATCAATTTTGATTTCAGTACTGATGATCTCTAAAGGGAAAGAGATAGTGCTGTTTGTCATAGAAGAATGGAGGTAAATTAGAAAACTATAATTAAAATATTGAAGTGTCAAGGTGAGAAAAGGTCCTACAATGAGAGCGCTTCTTACAGGAAGTCTCCAAATCACCTAGAATCATTGACGTAGCTCTTATGAAATTTATCAAGTGACACTTGCACATGTGTAAATGACATGCAGTTTAGGTGATCCTTAGAATCCCTACAGTGTGGAAACAGACCCTTCAGCCCAATATGTCCACGCTGACCCTCAGAGCATCCCACCCAGACCCATTCCCTATACCCACCTAATCGACACATCCCTGAACACTATGGGCAATTTAGCATGGCCCGTCTACCTAGCCTGCACATCTTTGATCTGTAGGAGAATGTGCAAACTCCACACAGACAGTTGCCCGAGGGGGAATTGAACCCAGGCCCCTGCTACTGTGAGGCAGCAGTGCTAGCCACTGTATCACCTCCTGCCAGAGCCACTTGACTCGAGCTCATCACACCCTTCGCCCAAACATGAACAAAGAGCTGAATTCCAGAAGGGAAGGTGATTGTGACTGCCATTTATATCAAGGCATCACTTCACTATGGAGCCCTAGCAAAATGAGCCATTAGTATTCTGGGCAAACTCTCTGCCAGTTAGCATCATAATTGGCACATAGGAAGGTGGTTGTTGTTGGAAGTCAGTCATCTCAGACCGAAGATAACACTGTAGGAGTTCTTGTGTCCTTGGCCCAACCATCTTCAGCTGCTTCATCAATGACCTTCCCTCCATCATAAAGTCAGAGGAAACGGATGTTCATTGCACAATCATCAATCATCAATCATCAATCTTCACCTCCAATGCAGGAAGACCTGGGTAACACCCAGACCTGGGCTGATAGTGACAAGTAAAATTTGCACCACACGAGTACTGTCAATTTCTATCTCCAACGAGAGAGCATTTAACCATTGTCATTTGACATTAAATAACATTGCCATCAGTGAATTCCCCCCACATTAACCATGACCAAAAAGTGACATGCACCAATCATATAAATATTTGGCTACAAGAGCAGCAAGTTGCCTACCAGGCACAAATAAAGTATTGGAAAACTCTTTTTGCCTAGATGAGTGCCATACCAAAAATCCTCAACAAACTTACCATCCAAGATAATGTAAATTGTTTGGCACCCAATCTACCATCTTCGCCACCAAAAAAAAATGGCAACAGTATGTATAAGATGCACTGCATTATCTCACCAAGGTTCCTTTGAAAACATCTTTCAAACCTGTGACTTTGCCACCTAGAAGGACAATAGCAGAAAATGCAAGGGAGTGCCACAACATGCAAGTTTCTTCCAAATCACACTCCATCCTTTGTTGTCCTGGAACTCCCTTCCTAACAGCACTGAGTGAGCATAAGAACAGGAAATACAGTCGTTGAAAAATAATAATGAGTGACCAGAGCATACTTATGACAAATTACAGTTTAGGAATTGAGATTGGAGATATCAACTAAACTGCTAGACTGCTTAATCACAACAATATTAATTACTATGTTTCTTGGGGCTATTTCTGTTAAGGAAGGAGGACTCCTCATTAGGCACTGAAAGTTAAAAGTAAAGGAAAAAAGTATGTTGTCACTCCAAACAAGCAAAAGCTCCAGCTTTTCATATCTCTTGCTGATCTTCTCACCAAGTGCTGGAAGTGCAACCTACCAACTTTGTTCTTATTCAGTTCACTAAGTCTGCTCTTATAGAGTCTCTGTCCGATCTAAGTACTCATCTGCTATTTCTCAGGAAGAACAATGATCTTGTTTGCAGAGGAATCATCCAATACTACCCATCCCCTCAAATGCTATGCAATAAAAACATTGCAGCTAATTCCTGGACAAGGACCATTGATGTGCGTAATGATTCTTCTGTGGCCAAATATCAGCTAAATAACATTGAGTGCAAACCCAAACAGCCCACAAAGATAATGGTATCGATGTGTAACGTTTCTATACAAAATAGATCTTATCTATTGCAAATGCAGGTGCTAGCAAACTGAAATAAAAACTAAATGCTTGAAATACTCAGCAGATCTGTTAACGTCTTTGGAGATGGAAATAAAATTAATGTTTTTTGTTGATGACCGGTTTGTGGGAAGGCCATTTCCAGCATTTTCTGTTTCTACTCGGCTACCATATATGATTATAAAAACTGAAAGAACTGCAGATTCTGTAAATCAGGAACAATAACAGAAGTTTTTGGAAAAACTCAGCACGGCTGGCAGTATCTGTGAAGAAAAAAATCAGCATTAAAGTTTTGGGTCCAGTGACCCTTCCTCACTACTTCCTCTGAGGAAGGGTCACCGGACCCGAAACATTAACTCAGATTTTTTACTTCACGGATGCTGCTAGACCTGCTGAGCTTTTCCAGCAACTTCTGTCTTTGTACCATATGTGATTGTGCTTTGCAATTGAAGGAGCACTGTCAGTTTATGAAGTTGCATAGCCTACTTCATCATTTATTTAAAAACTAGGTAGCCTGAGATTGGATCATGAAGGGTCAGGTCCTTAATTTTCAAAATCTCATGCTTGCTGTTCATTT